TGGGCGAGGACAGAGTCTTGGGGAGGAAGGCGGGCTCCTCCAGCAGCGGGATGAAGGCCTTGGCGCCCAGGGGGGGCTCGGGCAGCCCGCCCTCGGGGAGCTTGGTCCCTCGCCGCGAGATGGTGAACTGGTTGGGGTCCTTCCCGTCCTTCCGCAGCATGTCCGGCAAGAGCCTGCGGCGCGCGTTGATAAACCAGTTGCAGACCTGGGAATACAACGACACCTTAATTTCCACCTTCCTTCATTTCCAGCTACCTGCCACCGGAGTCGTTGGGCGAGATTAATGGAACCCTGCGAGCAGAGCGGTTTCCTGAACTGCAGAACAAAAGGGAGACCTACTGACAAGCCCTGACAGGCCTGGCCAAGGCCCTTCCCTCCACCCCGGGCTACAGAAAGCCCTGGGACACCTGAAGACTGCCAGACCGGGCCGAGGGGTTTAGATTTTAACTCTGTGCACACACATTAACCTATCGGCTATTGTTCCCTCCGCTTGGGTTAATTAACAACAGGAAAACCTTTTCTCTCCGAGGAGAGCCACTCCTCCCACAAATAGTTACTGATTTTCCTTGTTCAACTGACTGTGTCGACAGACATAACACGAATTACCTCACTTAAGTTTGTCCTTGTTTAAACATCAAACCAGTTTCCTGGGCGATACGGGATAGTTTATAGTTCAACGTCTCTTTTTTCTGTTTACTACATAAAGGAGGTTTTCTTTAGGGTGTTACAATAAGGAAATTTTGCTTTACAGTCAATTACAAATTTTGTCCCAAGGAATTAGTCTGGAAAAACAAAGCCCAGAAGTCAAGAGAAGCGCTCTACATTTAGCACCTCTCAAAACCAAACCAGGATTTACCCCAATTCTCACGCAGCCACCTTCAACGGGGTGGCAAGCTGCAACTGTCAACAGCTATTGCGGAATCTCAGCAAGGTGAGGGCTGGGACCTCTGGAGATCAGCTTGTCCAACCCCCCTGCTCCAGCAGGGCACCCACAGCAGGGTGCCCAGGGTCACAGCCAGGGGGGTTTGGGATCTCTCCTGAGCAGGAGACTCCACAGCCTCTCTGGGCAGCCTGCTCGGGCACCCTCACAGGAAAGTATCAAGGTGTTCCACCAAAGATGGTCACGGAAGAAGAGAACGATGTGTCCATGGGACCTTGCAGCTGCCAGCATTATGCCAGGATGAGAACCTGAACTAAGCACACAAAAGCCTCACCAGACCCACAAGAACACGCTTAAGTAGCCATGTCCCATACAGGTAGCTCCATTTCAAGTCAGCACACACAATTATATATGTGCATGTTCTACAGGACCAAGCCTCAAGCTGCAGTTTTAGAAGTGAAGAGCTGTATGTTAAGCTGCATCTCAATCACCACAAACCCTCTGTTGACAAATAAATCCCTTCTCCTGACCATAAATTTCCATACACAGACACTTTGTGTCTTCCGGGGCCCGACTCTGCAAGAATCAGCAGGCACGCTCGGATTCACCCCTGCCTGCTCTCCCAGAGGAGTGGTTTTATTCCCAGCAAACAAAGCCCATCCTAAACCCACGGTTCGTTTGTACTTCTCCTCACAGGCGCTGTCAGGAGTGAGGAACAGTAAAAAAGGCCACCTCACGTGCAGCGTGAGCACTCGTATGGGTGACGGGAGCAGGGGAGAGGAGAGCCCAGCCCCCGTGCTGGGGGCTGCCCCGGTACCTGCAGCGTGGAGAGGTGTGTCTGGCGGGACAGCAGCGCCTTCTCCTGCTCCGAGGGGTAGGCGTTGTAGCGGTGCTCGTAGAGCCAGTCCCGCAGGATCTGCACCGACTCCTTGGGCAGGTTGCCGCGTCTCCTGCGCTTGCCCGAGCCGGCGGACGAGGACAGGTCCAGCGGGACGTCCATCGTGTCCTCATCCTCCGTCTCGCTGCCCGAGATGGCAACGACACCTGTGAGGGGAAGGGAGAACAATCAGGCTCCCAAACCCGCGACTGCCCAGCCCCAGCACCCCACGGCCCGGACGCTTTTCACTCCAGCCACGGCCGAGCCTCCCGCAGAGGAGACGTGTCCTGGAGCCATAAACTTGTCAAGCTGCGGCGTTTCTGTCAGCTGAACAACAAGTAGCTCCAGTGATCTGATCCCGGGGGAATTCTTCTCGGCAAACCCTCGTTTTCTCGTTCCCCTGGCAACCTTTTATCCGCTGCATGTTATCAGATAGCTTCTACCTAACGCCAAGATTGCCCAAATTCGCTTGCTGTGGTATGTGCCCAATGCTCCTCCTCAAGGATAACTACCCAGAGCCCAGGCAAAAGGTCAATAAGCAAGAACTTAAACAGCCCGACTCAAGCAATGGGTTATTTAACGACTTCTTAACACGCCGGTGCTCCCCTCCTGGGAGGGACAGCTTGTAGATTTTATACATTAACGGCTCGTTCCAGATCTATTGATAAAAACTCATAGAACAAGAAAAAAGAAAGGGGGAAATTGTGTCAGCCCCAAGTGGATTTTCACTTACGAAGGGGAAAAAAAGGTGCAGGAAAAGGCATCAGGTGCCTGAGAGTCCACCAGGTTATCAGGAGCTGGATTTCTTTCATTTAACTGCACTTTTGAATCAAAGAGTCACGATCGTTTAATTAAAGTTTGGGCAAGTGGGTTTGTGTGCTTCAAATGTACCACTTTGCATCCTGAGTTTGAATCAGCTTCACAGTTTTCCAACTCCTATTTTACTCGGCACAAACACTGTCTGTGCTACACCTCCTACAAAAGCTCCAGGTTTACAAATGGACTGTGCACCTTTTTCCTTCCTAAGGTTTTCAAAATTTGATTTTCCCTTTCTATACACCCCACACTCCCAGTAACATGAAACTACAGGATATAAATAAAATTCAAACAAACAAGCAAGCACTCAGTAGTTAGGAAGACTACAATTCTACTCCTTTGGTAGGACAGGCAAGTCATTAAGGAAACAAACAGTGCTGTAAAACACAAAGAAAACAGCTTTAAACACCAGCTTAAGCTCACCAGGTATTTTAGGAATCTTACTATATGTAAATCCAGAGAAGATACCGTTTTCAACTAGCACTATTTAACACTAATTTCAAGTGAAACTATACTGGCTTTTAGAGACATTTTCCACAAGCTATGGAAGGGAAATAAGCCCATCATCTTTCTGTGTTTTGAACTTGGGGGTGGAGTTTGTGTGAAACTCTCTCATTCACAACATTGAAACTCAAAACCCGATTAGTAAAAACAAGTTAAAGGTCAAAAGTAAAATTTTTATGTGGGCAACCACCCACAATATGAAAATTCTGTTTTAAGGAAACAAAGCCAGCCCTAAAGTGCAAGGGGCATGAAAGAAGAAACTTCTATAAAGCTGTAGTTACAGCTCCAAGTAGAGGGAATTAATGTCATTTGAAACAAACAAACCAACCAAAGCAAGACAGACGGACCAAAAAGCGGGGTGTGGATGTGCAAGTCTTCCTTAAGGAAGAACCCTTGGGGGCTGGAGCAGAGCAGAACCTCTCCCCACACTTTCAAACTTCAGCCAAAGCTGACACGGTGAATTTTTTTTTCCTTCCCCTATTTATGAGTAGCCCCAACATCCTTAAATTTAGTGCAAGTTGTCCAAATTTCAACGCATATTTTTCGCCGTGCTTTCCCAGCAGGACGGCCCAGCTGCAGTTTGCCTGCTGCAGTTACTTCAGGCACTTATTTAGCATTGTTTTCCTTCCCCGAATCGCTGATTTATGTAACCGCCAAGCACCAAACTGACAGACCAAATTTCTCCTGTGATGATTAGCTACATAAATTATCCAGTCACGGAACAGGAACAATAGGACAATATTTAAATAGCCGACAGAAGATAAACTCCAAATTATGCAAACAGGTTCTTAATTCATGTAGAAAGTTATGTCAAGTTTGCTTTAAAGCAGTTGCGAGCGCAGGGCTTTGTCTTTGTCCCGGCGCCGGGCGTGCGGCAGGTCCCGAGGAGGAGGATGTCTCGGGAGCCACGAGGAGCACTTCTGGGAACAAAGATCCTGCGCAGACAACAGGCCCTGCAGAGCAGCTCAGCCCCTCACAGGGAACTTCAGAACTAGCTCAAACTAGCCTGCGCTATTCAGACAGTGTTTCCCAGCACGCTGCTCTTGTTTGTCAGGAACCAGAAGTGTTGCAGCACTTCAGTGGGTTGGGTTTTTTTGTGTGTTTTTAAATAGAACGGGCACCGAGACGGGACCTTGGAAAACAGGGAGAGGCAAACAGTGAGGGCTGGAAGTAAGAGGGAAGGGAAGCCAAAGGAACTTCTCCTGCGAGCAAGTGAAGTGTCTAATGGTTTGTGAGAGCTTATGGGGCGGAACAAAAAGTCCTCCAGAAACACACACATCTACACCACCCCAATCTGGAGTACACAACAAGTCCTCCAGACACACACAATCTGGAGTAGGTAACAAAAAGTCCTCCAGAAACACACACACACACACACACACACACACACACACACACACCACCCCTATCTAGAGCACACAAAAGAGTAGGTAACAAAAAGTCCTCCAGAAACACACACACACATACACCCACCCAATCTGGAGTACATAACAAGTCCTCCAGAAACACACACCACCCCAGTCTAGAGTAGGTAACAAAAAGTCCTCCAGACTCACACACAATCTGGAGTAGGTAACAAAAAGTCCTCCAGACGCACACACCACCCCAGTCTGGAGTAGGTCACAAAATCCTCCAGACACACACACACACACCCCCCACGCCAATCTGGAGAACACAACAAGAAGTCCTCCAGACACACACACACACCCCACCCCAATCTGGAGTAAACTCTCCAAGTCTAACCCAGCTGAAAGGTCTCCAAGGTCTAACACAGCCGAAAACCCCACGGGCACCTCTCCAAATGCGAGAGGACTGATCCGGCAGCAAAACTTCTTGTAGAACTGTTGCTCTTTTCCACTCAGAAAAGAGAAGAGCGACAAAACACCGTCGGAGAGCCAGCAGCAGCCCAAGAGCCTTTCCGTTTGGCAAACAGACCTGCTGGTGAAGTAACAGTCGCCGCCTGAGTAAGCGTCACCTACCTGGCGAGCGGCGGGTGCCCTCTGCCCGCTGGCTCAGTGTGTCACGGCGCTGGCACAGTGGGTCAGTGACACA